TAGACTTAAATATCGAGAATATAATTAATTAAGCCTACTTCGATAGCCTTAAATTCTTTATAAATTTAATATTTAATATAGTTTATAGTACTTTATAGCTTAATTTTAATAAAATAATTATTTATATAGAGTGCTATAATAGCTATTTTCTCTAATAATACTTAAATAAAGATATAGCTATTAGCTATAATAGCTATAAATTCTATTTTCTTAATAGTATACTTAAATTTCTTATTTTAGATATAAGCTAATTATTTAAGATTATATAATCCTTTCTAAAGAAATAATACTTTATTCTTAGTATTAATTACTAATAAATAGTCTAATAATAAAATTATATAGATTTTCTTATAAAGATCGCCATTAAAATAAGTATTATTAATATCTATTTATTCTATTAGAAGGTTTATTATTATTATATATAATAGAAATAAGCGTAAAGAGTTAAATTGTAAAGTGAGGGTAAAGGTCTTATAAAAGTCGATATTTTCTATTTACGTAAATCCTCTAGCAACGAGTCTAATCTTAAATTTATTAATAGTTTTATCGCTATTATATTTAATCTTAAAAATCTATTTATATATAATTAGGCGTTTATTAATCGATAGAATAGCGAGCTTTCAAATCTCTTTAGTAATTAAAGCGATAATTTTCTTAATAATAGCTTACTTCTATTCGCGAGTATTTAATTTATAAATAGCTTTCTAATAGATAAGAAATTCGATTATAATATTTATAAGTTTAGCTTTATTCTTTATATTAAAGTTATTATAGAACTTATAAAGATTATAGTCTAGCTTTTTAATGCGAGGCTATTATATAGAGATAGCGATTTAAAATATAAAATATCGCTTAATGCGATTAGGAGGGTTAGGGGTAGATATAGATATAATAGATTATTAAATATTAATCTTAGATATTATTCCTTAATTTATTATTTTCTTACTATTTAAGATATTAAGAGTCTCTTTAACTTCGCGAAGATTTAACGAAGATTTCGATTTACTTTAATATATATTTAAGTTACTTAGTTCTAAATCTCTATTATTATTTATATTCTTTAAGAAGTTAATAAAAACTTCTTCCTTTACTTAAGAATCTCGTATATCTTTAATTTCTTCGATTCGTGGTGATAATATAATATTCGATATAGATCTCTTATAATTCTTCTTATTATTATCGTCGCTAGATACAATCTTAATATTACTCTAGATAAAGACGTTATTAAGATTATTATCGTTTTAGCGAGTAAAAGCGATATCTACTTATATAGAGTTATAGACTATTAAGAACGAAGTTAGAGTTATTAATTAAACTCTCTTATAATTCTTATAAAAATAAATATTCGTAGATTATTTAAATTAATTATTTCGAGAGTTATAAATCTAATATTGAGTGAATAAATAATAATTAATATATATACTCTAATAGATTACAATATATAGCTTAATTTCTCATTTCTTTTTTAATAAATAAATTAAGTATAGATAATCGAAGACTTTTTCGTAATTTAGGTCCGATTTCTTATTAAATCATAGTTCGTAGAGTAATTTACTCCCTCTGCTATTATGTAGTAATCTATTTTTCAGATAATTTATATAAACTGCGGTCTCTAATTAGAAGTTTATGGGTAGGCCTAATTGGCTAAGTATAGGTCTTATGAATTCAATTAATATTCTATTAAATCGTTCTGCGATATTATTTTAGTATAAGGTATAGATAGTCGTAAATTTTATAGTAATACCTCGTTTCTTAAGTGTATCCTCGACTGACTTATATTTTTCTATATTATCGATTTTAACTAATATTACTTCTTTTATTTTAGCTATTTTATTAATTATAATTATATTTCTAAGAATAAAAGTATAGATCTATTTCTTTAATATAATAGACTCGAGATTTAATTAGTTAATAGTCTTATCGATAAGGAATATAAACTACTTACTACTCTCTATAATATTAACTATAGAATATAGTTTCTAGAAATCAACATATATCCTAGCTTCTAATACTGTTTCCTTTAGCCTAGAGTTCTTATTAATCTATTAAACTATTTTCGTAGAGTTATATATATTACATTAAAATTCTTTCGATAATTTCATTTCCTCTATATCTCTTACGTAGAGATATAGATCTTTTAGACGATATGCTTTAATATAGCCTAATCGTTAATATATTAGTCGAAAATAGTCGATTTATCCTTATTTTATAGATATAGATATACTTTCATTAGGAGATCTCAACTCTCTCAAAGCGAATACTCTATTAAATATCGATTTAATTAACTAATATAGACTATTCCTTATATAACCCCTTACTACCATCTCGCCTATAAATATATTAATAATTCTAACATATAGGTTTTCGAATTATACCTTAAAATTCTTTCGATTCAATGCTATAATAGATAGTAGATTATCATCTATTTCTAAGATATATAGAGTATCTATTATGGTTTATATATGGTTATCTATACGAATTCGAATGATTCCTCTATCTATCGCTATTAACTCGCCTTAATTATCAAATTCTATCTCTTTCGAATAAGGCTATAAGTCGATAAATAGTTCCTTATTTAATATTATATGGCGAGTCGCTTCGAAGTCTATTAGCTAGCTACTATCTCCTGAAAAATCTATTATTATAAAGAAATTCTTTATTAATAGTACACTATTTATAGACTCTAGCTTTTCTCTAGCTATTTATAAGTCTTTCTTTTAATTATATATATCGCTTATATCGCTAGTATTACTATCGCTATCTAATTTATTCGCTACTACTATAATACGATCTAAGCGTTCTCGCTTACTATCTTTAAATATCTTTAAACTCTTTAATTAATTCTTTAATTTATAATTTTATTTATTTAAATCCTTCGCTTTATAATTCTTATTCTTTTTATTCTTTTTATTTAAATACTTTTTCTCGTAATACTCGATTTTTCTATAGCTATAGTATTCTATCTTGCTTATATCTCTAAAAGGTCTTTGATCTAGCTAATTCTTTCGTTCATTACGTATAAATAAGCCTTTATCCTTAACTTATCTATCTTACTCTACGGTCCATAGATATTTTATAGTTATTTCGATAGTGAGATTATCGTTAATCTCTAAGTTATATTTAGCTATATCGAACTTACTCCCCTAATAAGCGTTTATAATTATCGTCGTTATAATGAGATCGTATAATATATAAACTAGATTTAGATTCGTAACTTCGTTCTATAAGTTTCGTAAATTTACTATTATTTAATCGATCGTCTAATTTATTAATTTAATATATCTAAGAAACTTCTATAATATAATCGAAAGACGTTCTTTATTACTTATTTTATAGATTCGATAAAGCTTATTTTATATAAATTTAAAAGTAATAAGATAGGCGATATAACTCTTCTAATTTCGATTAATATTATCTCTAATTAGTATAGCGATTTATTTATTTAAAATAGTTTATCGTTTAACTAGCTCTCTATTAAATTATATAAATATTAATAATTCCTCTAATACTATTTTAAAGATACTCTATTTCTCAAGGAATTATTAATAGTTCTAGATCTATAGGTAATAATTTAAGTCCTTTAGAACTTCCATTTTAACGTACGATTTACTAATAAGTCTCTTATTTAATTTCTTTAATAAATTAATTATTAATAAATTATCTAAATCGAATAAAAGATCTTCTTTCTCCTCTTCTTTCTTCTTTCTCTTTTCTTTTAAATAAAAAAGACCCTTAATTAATAACGCTATCTATTTAGCGAATAAACGATCTTATTCCCTAATCTACTATAATTCTACCCTTAAGTATTCTTTAGCGAGATTTTTAAGACGACTATATTCTCGAATATTTAAAAAAATTATAGCGATAATAAATAGATATAGCGAAAGATTAAAATCTCGATTAATAGCTAACTAAGCTTATAATCTATTAATAATATAATAGACTATACTTAATATAATTAAGGCTAAAGCTATATATAAATACTATATAAATAGATCGTATATATAGATAGATAGAATATAAGAAAAGAACTTTATATAGTAGATATAAGTTTAATATAAATATAAAAAATCGCTTACTAAATTACTAGAGATTCGTTCTTTCGAGTTATTCGATTTCGGCTTATAATCTATAATAAATCGAATTACTTTAAGAGTTATATCTTAATCTTTTAAACGTATTAATTCTATATATACGTTAAATAAACTAATTACTCTAATATATTATAGCTATAGCTATATAGCTATTATTTATAGCTATATTATCTATAACTACTATTGCTAATAACTATATTATCTATGGCTACTATTGCTTATAACTATATTACCTATAGCTATATTTGCCCATAGCTATATGGCTGTAACCCTCAGCTATATTGTGACTAATGGCCATAAGCCGTCAAAACCAACAGTATTTACGCTGCGCAACGGGGCGGGTTTCGGGGCGGGGACTGACCCCGAAGCTTACCCCGCCCCGCCCTGTTGCGTAGCGTAGTGGTATTGTTAGGAATTATTCCTTCGGGGGCCCTGCGGGGCCTACGGGGCCTACGGGACCTAAATAGGGGTGTCTGCAGCGTGAAGTGCGGACACCCCGGGCATAGCTTTCTAGCCTAGCGGTAACTCAGGTTAGTCGAAATTTCACCCACTCGACTTTCGTCTGATATTTTTAGGCTGATAGAATTCTCATCAAATGCGGTCGGAGAAACTCCCTTATTTCTATGATCGAATAAGCCAGATCGCGGATTATCTCCTTCGTAGTTTGAGGCCACTTTGATAACTTACCGAATCATACCCCAAGCAATGGCAAATTACCGAATCATACCCCATATTTGAATGTGATTTGGTGTAGGGGTATGATTCGGTAATTAGGGGTATGATTCGGTAAGGATTCGTACTTTCGGGGTATGATTCGGTAATTTGCCCCCGTATTGAGACTAGCTGCTGTGAGAGTGTTTCATCATCCAATCCCTCCCTACTTCCAATCGTTAACAGGAATCCAAAATGTCAAAACTACGTATGCTAGTATCAGGCGCCGGCATCGCCGGTCCAACTCTCGCGTTCTGGCTTGCCCGTGCCGGTGCACTGGTAACGATCATCGAGCGCGCTCCTGTACTGCGGGCAATAGGGCAAAACATAGACAATTGCGGCGCTGGTATTGGAGTCATACAGCGCATGGGCCTTGAAGACATCATCTGCAAGAATAAGACAAATGAAGAAGGTATAGCCTTCGTTGATGCCATAAATCGTCCGAAAGCGCAGTTTGAAGTCTATCACAGTGGGAAGGGTAAGAGCTTTACGTCAGACACTGAGATTTCAAGGGAAACACTCGCAAAGATCCTTCATGACGGTACAAAGGAGGAGGCTGAGTATATCTTTGACGATTATGTCAAATCTGTCGACGATAACGACAACAGAATCTAAGTCACTTTGGCCAGCTCCACGCCCCAACGAGAATTCGACCTCCTCGTCGCAGGCGACGGCCTCGGCTCACCTACCCGCTCTCTCATCTTTGCCCACGTGGGAAAGATTTGCATACGCTCTCTGAACCAGTGCACATCCTACTTCAGCATCCCCTACCAAGACCCCGACGGTACTTTGGCACGTTGGTACAATGCCCCAGGCCGCCGCTGCACACTGACGCGCCCTAACAATGCGGGCAAAACAATAGTGTTCCTGTCCATCATCAGCATCTCGGAGAAGCTCCAGAGCCATAGCAAGCTCTCCCAAAATGAGCAGAAACAGTCGATGCACGAAATCTTCCCCAACGCCGGCTGGGAAGCCTCACGTATGCTTGCTGGCATGGACACAACGGATGACTTTTACATGCAATCGAACGCCCAAGTTAAGCTCGACAGCTGGTCGAAAGGCCGCATGAGCGTAGTCGGCGCTGCGGCGTTTTGTCCCTCTCCTATCAGCGGGATGGGCACCACCGTCGCTATCGTCGGCGCGTACATCCTTGCTGGCGAGATCTCCAGGTGTGGAACCGACTACGAGAAGGCTTTCGAAGCGTACGAAAGTATCATGAGGCCGTTCGTCGATACAGCGCAGAGTTTGCCGCCCGGGGCGCCGGCGATAGCGAATCCGGAGACGGCGTGGGGCAATAACTTGATGAATAGACTGCTTGATTTTGTTAGTTGGAATGGGTTGGAGAGCCTGTTGGGGAGGTTTGGAGGGCCGCCGGCGGACGCGATTGTGTTGCCGGGGCATGAGATGTGAAGTATCTGCTGGGACCACATCCTACCTCGGGCTGCTCAATCGGCGGTTTGTTTCGCGGCCTGACCTCGTTGTAGGCCTCCTGAGCTTCCGTGATGCTTCATTTGGAACTTGTAGTGCGCTTCGAAGAGTGTGAGAACACCAGGCCCGCACTGGAACATGTTTTTCTGACTAGGCAGAAAAAGCTAGTAAGTGAACCTTACGTGGGCGTATGGTGTAGATGAACAATGCCGCACGACCTCTCATCGCTTGGTGTTGTCCTCTCTGCTTGTATCTTTTTGAGCGACTCGACGTCATAGCCTCCTTTCTACTTATCACATAATCTAGATAACACACGGTGATGATAACGCCCCTTGAGTCGTGTAGAGACTGCAGTCTTTTGACAGTGAACGAATGTTGTTCGAGGGTTTTGAAGAGATAGGAATAAAGTTGGTGTCGGGGTGTGAAAGCGAAGAAGAATGAAAAGGAGGAACGAAGGCTTGAGTGGGGGACGATGTGATCATGGGAAAGGAGACGGCGGGGAAGAAGTGGTGTTAAGGTAGTAGATGGGGACTCGAATCTCTAAGCCGAGGATGAAGAGATGTGAGGGAGCTGGGGCTATTGCGGCGTGCTGGGCGGGTACTCAGGTCAGCTCTGCGTACATTGCAGCAGCCTTTCCTGCGAAGTGCTTGCGATATGCAGCGACAGCTGGTCACGCGTAGCGAGGGAAGTTTGCGAAGACCATCTAAGTACGGCAAAGCATCACACATAATGAGCGCAAGACCTTAGAACGGATGGAAGCTGAAGAAGCGCTTGCCTAGTCGTGACTCATCTAATCTTATTACATCCGTTAGCGAGGCTAATTTCGAGCTTCACATCTTAGCTTTAATTTCGTGTGCCGCAAGCCTTTCATACATGGTCTTCTCGAAAAGCGTGATCATCTTTCCAACCTTTGCATCGCCAGGCGGCCGTACTTGACCGCCGTACAAGCCGCAAAGGCCGGCTTCGCGGTCGATAAACTGTATCAAGGTCAACGTCATGTCGTTCTCCATGCTACTTCGGAAGAGAAGAAAGGAAGTTGGGAAGTGCCAGCAACGTACCCAGAACAGATTCGGCAACCCGCTCCACATCAGCGTATTCTTCCCCCTCCACCCTTCATCCGCCTCCCTCGTCAATATGCCACCAATGCCCCAATCCAGAGGCACACGTTTGGGAAATTCTCCCACAAAGAGTGCCGTGTTCTCCGGCTTCGCCATCAGTTGTTTCTGTGCTTCTTGGCTCTCTTTCGTCAACTGCGGCTGGAACATCTGCGCTGCCGTGGAGCGCTCGAGAATGATTCCATCATCGAGGAGTAGAGAGCGGAGAATCTTGAAATAGTCGGGCATAGATGCAAAAGCGCCATGGCCGCCGAAACAGTCCTTGCCCCCTGGCATCTTGGCGCCATCCAGGTCGTGGATTACTTTTCCGGTCTCCTCGTCTCGGACGGTCAGGCTCGCCATACGGTGCTTCATGTGTTGCTGCTCAGGCCAGAATGTAATATCCTTAATACCCAACGGGTGCCAGATGTTTGCTTTCATGTACTCCTCCAGCGTCTGGGCCGTGATACGTTCGACGAGCTTACCGGCCCAGTCGATGCTGGTACTGTAGAGCCAGCTGGTGCCGGGTTCATAGATGAGAGGCTGGGTGCAACATTCTTCTACTGTCGCACCGGTAGCCATCTTGAAATTCTTGGTGTGCTTGCGATAGCGCTGGACGCGCTGACTCATCATTAAATAGCAAAGGCCGGCGGAGTGGGTTAGAAGATGGCTGCCTTTCATCAGCCTCAACTTCCCTGTTCTCCGTGTAACCAGGAGACGAGGCCTGCTTGATTACCGTAAAGTTATCGTATTTTGCCGCTTGTTAAGGATTGGTTCGCCAGAGGCCTCGTCAAATCCAGTCAAGATACCCTGGTCCGCAAGCTCGGGTAAGATTTCTGCTACGTCAGTGTCGAGGGTTACAAGACCGCGCTCAACGCATTGCATGGCGGCGATTGAGGTCATCAACTTCGTGCAGGAAGCTATGTACAGCATGTTATTCATTTCGAGCGGTTCGTGGGTATCAAGGGATCGGACGCCGAACGCGTGGGCGTAGTGGAATGAACCTGATGTTCCGTCAGTTGCTGGCCCGAGATACGCAGCGTTGATAGTCCACCACTGCGGTTTGAAGCGAGCAGGATGACGCCGGGGATTGTCCCATCTTCGCATGCTGTCTCGAATTGCTCTTCCATCGAAGGCATGTTTCGGTGTTGCGGAAGTGATCAACAAAGATAAAATCCATCGATTGTTGGCCAGAAGCGTATAGTCTGGGATTGGAGGTGTAGACCAACTGTAGAAACTGCTCATATATACATATACATATATATGTAAGTAGAACGTGAAATGTTGTTCTCCACACTGAGATGCAATGAAAGAGCCGATGTAAGTCGTGAAGACACTAAAAGAATAGTTTTCCCGACCGCCGATAGGGCTGAGATTTTATCCCGAAATTTGCTTCCCTTCCTGCTCCACCCTCGCTCGATGTTCCCTTGTGAATAACAGCGAGGATGGATAAGAGAACAAGCGTTCTTTTGACAATCCCGAGTCACTGTAATAGCGAGTGGATCCGAGTTGGGAGTGCACTGCTACAATGCCATGCTATCGCAAGCCCTGCACCAATGCCGCCGCTCGAATCAACGTACTTGGTCCCTTCTAACATTCAGGATATCTTCCATGCCCATATTAATGGGCTTACAATTTGGAACTTCTGTTGAGACATGGACAAGATCTTGCCATGTCTAAGTTTCCGCACTCGCTAGCTACATCGCCACTGCGCGAATTCCATGAACACCGGATTTTTCATCAATATCTGAAGGTGACTGCTCTGTAACCCAAGCTGCACCTCCACACCACCTTGTCTCCCATCCGACTTTCCATCCAAGCCTTCAGTGCTAGGTAAGCGTGGAAAAATTAGGAACAGACCGTCTGTGTGGAGCCTTCGCTTTCTGATCCTCTCACAAGCGCCGCCTACTGTGCGACCCCAGTCCAGGCTGTAGTATGGTTGTCTGGCCCAAGTACTGCAACCGAGACTATACTCAGTGGATGGTCGCCTGCGAGGTGCTAGCCGACTAACATCATCAACGTTCCGAACCATTTGAATTACATCCCGGACATAGGCATCGTCCACGACGTTTACTGCCTTCCTGACCAGCGAGGCCGCTTTCGCAAGACATCCAGGTTGTGGAGAGAGTAAGTCATCGGCCTTCGACAGTGTTTTTGCAATGAGAACCACGTTGCCACAGTAGTCTGGGGCCACCGGCGGGTGAAGTTGACTTCGACCATTGACGGCCATCGCAAACAGGGGGAAGATCTCGCTCGTTGCTTTTGTACTCTCGGCCACTCGAGCGGACGTTATGCAGCACCAGAAGAGCGCAATGAGGGCATCATTGGTTGAGATCCACGCCGAGCCGTCATCTCCATTATTGGGGCCTGACATTGTCGCCACCATCTTCAAACGCTTGAGTGACTCATCAGAAAAAAAGAAGATCGCTGAGTGCACATTTTCGGAACTCGGAAAGTAGACACTTGGATCTTCAGCTGCCCTCACCGTTTCTCCTTCCGGTGCAAGCGCATACTCCGGGTGATCTTCCAGTCTCCCAGTCCCTGCTCCTTGCAACAAAGGGCTCCGATCGAACCACTGGGGCGTGACAAAATGCAAATCAACGTCCCCTCGACAAGATGAGGACCAGACTTTCATCACATTGAACAGGCCCACCTCATCTAGCACGCAGTGATGGACAGCGAAAAACAGAAGCAGCCCGCCGCGCAAGAAGTTTGCTTGCGCGAGCATGACAGGTGCGGAGTCTGCCGCTTTTCCGAACTGTTTCGGTGCGATAGCATCCCATGCTATCTCGTCCGAAGGGAAGTGTGCGGCCCGCAGCTGTTCGTAATCATACTCATTACGCAGATCGTTGCTGGAAAGGATGTCTTCCGCCTCGAAGTATGGCCTCTGGACGCTCAAAGATCCCTTCTGAACTCCTTCTTGCTTGCTTGGGGCCACTGAGCCCGCAATAATCGGTATACTTTTCAGCGTGAGTGCAAGGGCGGCTCGAAGATTCGATGTGATGGCGGCTGGTTCAGCTGTAGAAGGGAAGTAGAGCAGCTTCGGAACATGCATACGCGGCATCAGCATGTCGATTGGAGAGATTGGAAAAACGACATTGTTCGCGTCGGACAGTTTGCAACCTGGAACAGTTGGACTGCGCAGAGTTGGGAGCAAAGCATGATGAGTTGGGGCCTGCGGTGGTTCCATCATCGTACAATTGTCCCTTGGAATGTCAGTCATCCACTCATAAAGTCTTTATCACTTGAGGAAATAGGCTTCCTTTTCGTTGAATAAGCTTGTGATCGTCAACGTTTGTTCCCATGCTATGTTATCTACCTATTGCGGCAAAGGGCGCCATTGTCGACGCTTCAAGAAAATTCGCGCAGTTGCAACCCTCCAGTGCAGGGTTTAACCCTGTGGACTGGGTAGCGTCGTGGGGCCTAGACTGGGGCTGTGAAAATTGCCACACCACCTCGGGAGCTATGACAGGCGAAAAGTCGTCCCTAACGAGAAACAAGTTCTGGGTGCCAGCGGCGTGCCCGAAGCCGCTCCCGGTTCAGCACCAAACTAATCCCCGCATTGCGACATTGCGGCGAGACTGTCCAACCAACGTGGTAGGGGATCCGCTTGTGACAAAAATAAAGTTGTCCGAGGCCGCACGTGTGAATGTACTCAAGTAGAAAGTCGCCGGGGGCAACAGAGCTTGGAGGACGACGAGACGCAAAAGATCGAGGAAGACGGGATAGCAGAGGAGGCATGCTCCCATAGCAGTATCGATAGGTATTTTAAGTCTCCGCTCGATTTTCCACTTCGCACAAGCGAGAGTGAGATCGATGGGGTTGGTGTGGATGTGTGATCAAGGGTTGTTTCTGGTCCAACTGGCAGTATTGATAGATCTTAGCGTTGGCTGACGTACAGAAACCCTCCAATACAGTACACGACGGGTTGGGGCTTGCCGAGCGTTCATCGTACAACTCCCGGTTGACGAGATTGGCACTGACTGGGCTTTGCGCAAAACCCGCCGGGCGGGATAAGCGGAAAAAAAGTCTATTCTATTGGCAAGCCTCTAAGCATCAGGATCTGCATTGCGTTTTGCCATGAGAGTGAGCAGTTTGCGTACATAATGCTGTCATTGGAACGCCTCCAACCTAACTGAATCAGGTTCCTTTCTCATCGCCTGAGAAGGAACTCAACCTCGGACGTTCTACATCGTTTCACCTGTTATCTGTCAATTTTGTAGGCTCACCACGGCCTTCTGCAGGACAAGCGAGAAGAGAGCGAATGAATGTGCTGGGTCTGAGTTGCTGCATGCATTCAACTTTCTTGATACCCCTGCATGTGGGGGGCAAGATGCTTATGAGCGCAGCCAATATTGGGACTACGATTGTAACCTCGGCAACAAAATGAGACCCTGCATATGCAAGTTGTCGCAACGCTTCGCACGACCGTCAACTTTCCACCTCAATCAGGCACCCGAGACAGGCCCATTAGCAACCCTCATATTTCCTGACCGATTGTTGGGGACCTCGGCAACAGAGTATATATGCAAGATGTCGCATGCCTTAGCCATGAATATTATTTAGGGGAACACATTTTTGCCTACATGCAGTTAGTTTTCAGTCTGGCGTTAACGATTTCTAGTCATTTTTAGACCTTTTACACATCGCTTGCCTGCAGCTTTGTGTGCATTCTGAAGCCTTCGGAACGCACATGAAGACTCCAAAAGGACGATCGACCAATAGCAGACCCCGATAGAACCCTGGCTTCGTTGAGTTAAGCAAAGTTGCAGTACATTTAGAAGCCAGCGTGGACTTTGGTGGTCTTTATTAATATTCAAAATCGTCTTCAAAATCCCTGCAAACCCTACCTAATGGACTTTCAGCTTGGCCCCAAAGGTAACACCCTTCTTTGGGAGACCTCGGCAACGACGCGCATATGCAAGTTGTCACTCGCTTCCTTTGAAATCAGCCCTCCCTACGCATCGACTAGGAACAGATCGTTGAGCTTGACCCAACAGTTGTCGTTCCACAATCTTGCTAATGCAGAGCCTGGTAGACTTTACTGTGGCTTTTTTTGATTCCACTGCTTTCCAGACTACTAATTCCCTGCCTCCCCCTTGACTCGAAACCCACTGACAACTTTCTCACGATGACTTTGCTACCACTCTGCATCGGGTGCGGTCTCGCCGCCCTCATCCTCACCAGGATCATCTCATCCGTAACAGAAAGGAGACGATGCCAAGCGGAAGCAGTACGGCTAGGCTGCAAGCCAGCGCCGGTTATACCCAAGAAGGGGTTATTTGGACTGACCCGATTTCTGGATTATCTAAAGGCGATGCGCGATGAGCGGAGCCCACAGCAGTTTGTGATGGCAATGAATGAGCTGGGCACGACAGGAGAAGTCCACACTGCTCGGCTCGAAGGTAATCTTGGCCCTCTGTGTTGAGCCACTGATGGAGAGGATTTTGCATTCTGACATAGACAGTGTTGGGCTCCGAAGTGCTGGTGACACGGGATCCAGAGAATGTGAAGGCCATATTCGTAACCCATGCTTCAAACTTTGAGATCGGTGCCTCTAGGTAAGTCTCTGTGAAAATCCCGTCTGCTCGGGACGCACTTCTGAGTAGCAAGACCCACCTGAGGCGACCCTTGCTGTGTATTCGTTTTGGACCCCGATCTTGGGTAAACATGTCTGACATGGGAAGTCTATAGGGCCGGGTGTTTCGAGCCATTGTTGGGCTTGGGAATATTTACTCAGCGTGGTGAACCTTGGCGTCACTCCCGGGCGCTTCTACGGCCACAATTTGCGCGTGACCAAATAGCGGACATGGATCTTGAAGAGAGGCATGTCGATGCCTTGTCCGCTGTGCTAAAGACGGGATCCGATGGCTGGACCGATGCCGTCGACCTCCAGCCCATGTTCTTGAAGATGACGCTTGAAGTGATGACGGAGTTTCTTTACGGGCATCTGCCGCCACAGATAGGCCAGAAAACAGATGCTCCTGATACAGAGGAGTTCGGATCTCACTTCGATGCTGGGAAAGCTTATCTGGGCACTAGGCTGGCTCTGGGGAAGTGGCACTGGCTCGTCCATCCGCCGGCGTTCTCTCGTCATTGCAAGAAGGTTCACGAGTACGCAGATTACTTTGTGAGAGCAAAGCTGCAACATGGATCAACAAATTTTGCAACGAAACCGGTATCCCGAGAGCCTACAACGAAAGGCAAGTTTGTGTTGATAGACGAGATAGCTAAGCATACCAACAACGCTCTGGAAATTCGTAATGAGACACTGAACGTACTGAGCGCCGGTCGGGACACCACTGCGTCGTTGCTGAGTTGGATTTTCTACTTCCTTTCGCGTTCCCCTCGAGTGTTCCACCAGCTCCGCGCAACAGTGCTGGCCGAGATTGGAGCCGACGCTGCCAGCATCGAGTTCACCAAGCTAAGATCATGTCAATATCTGCAACATTGCGTCAACGAATCTTTGCGCATGACCGGCATTGTGCCAACGATGCAGCGAGAGAGCCTCGAAGATACAGTCTTACCCCGCGGCGGCGGTCCAAACGGCTCGGAGCCCATCTTCCTTCCAAAGGGTCAACAGGTCTTGATATCGATCTACGCTATGCAGCAGCGTTGCGATATATGGGGAGACGACCCCGAGGTGTTCAGACCGGAGCGTTGGGAGGGTCGGAAGGCTGGGTTTGAGTTTATTCCGTTTGGCGGCGGGCCCCGGAAATGCGTAGGTCGTGAGTCAGCTCCTTTTGACCCCTTTCGCGGTCGAAGCATTTGCTGAACATTGACTTAGAACAAATGGCCCTCACTGAGGCTTCGGTATGTTACATACCGCTCTTCTACATAGTAGTACCGCCCCTCGGATCACCAGACATGTTCCAAGAAGACGTGTTCTGCCTTCCAGAAGCTCCTCAAGCTACGTCTTGTATTGTAATTCACCCGGTCACGAAAACATACTGACTCCGTAACTTTCAAATAGTACACCGTCGTACGCCTCCTTCAGAGATTCGACAAGCTGGAAAACTGTGAGCCACCAGGGCGAATCAGACTCCAGTATGCTCTTTCGGTTCGCAGCGGAACAGGAGCAGTCGTCAGGCTCCACGAAGCAGAGTCGAAATGAATGTCCTCCCCCTCCACATCGTCGAAGCTCAGATGCCGTTTCTTTGGATCGGATCTTGCAGGGGAGCACATCATTCCTGCCCGGGCGAAGAACGATAGAGAGATGAGACTGGTCCGGGAGGCCTCGACGTCTACAGCGTTCGAAAATGTTAGAGGAAGCACATATGACTCCACTGAGACGTTGGTGTATCCCATCGTCTGGCGCCTGGGGGTTCAATAAAACTTGGCGTCCCTCACCAAAAATCTATAGACATGGTGTTGCTTCTAGATATAAAAAACTCCTTTCAACAGGTAACAAGTCTAAATGCCCATGGATAAAGTTTATGAAAAGTAAATAATTTTAAGATCTAATATCGAAATTAGATTCGACTCTCGAAGGGTGAAAATACTTTAATCTAAGATTTATTTAAAATTATAAGATCGATTTTTTTTTTACGTTATTAAAGATCGTAAATTAAGCTCTATAATTTAAAAAATTTAATAGAAAATATAGAAGTTATATTAAAAGTAGATTTTTAAAAAGTAGATTTTTAGTAAATCGAGTTAAAGAAATTATTTTTAAATAAATTTTCCTTAAATTTATAAGAAATTAAATCTAATAGTTATTATAATAGTTTTTTAATATAATTTTTTCTACTAGTTTTATTTCTTATTTTCTATAATTCTTACGATTTTATTATTTTTTAACGAAAGAGATTAATAGATTCGAATCGAGAATAAAATAAAATTATTTCAAATCTTAATAAAATTATTACTACTCTACTATCTAAGCTTATATTAAAAGAGTATTTTTAGAAGAGTATATAAGTTTTTAATAAAAGATATTTGAATTTTTAATCTTTTAAAAAAAATTAAATTAAATTTTTAATCTTTAATATTATTAGAACGTATAGACTAGATTCTAGAATTTAAAAGAAAAACTTTAAAATTTGAATAGAAAAAAATAAGTTATTTTTA